GTAGGGAAATTGATGGTAATAAATTAGTTTTGAATGAAGGAAATAATAGCATTGTTACGAGCCTTAAAATACATGGTGAAATTACTTGTGCACATGAATTAAAAATCACTAATTCTAAAATAATATCGCGACGAATTTTATATTCAAAAATTTTCGCGTTATTTATAATGAGGTAATTTACTATTAAGATGCATAATGTTTCTTGTGCCTATCAACCAACACTAAATAACCGTGAAATGATACCGCTAAATAATTATCCACATTAGCATGCATTATTTATTACTATAAAAAAAAAAAAAGAAAAAAAAAAGAAAAAGGCTGAGAAAAAGTTTGATAATGATTTCCATTATGCATGGAAATTATTCTTCACATTGACCATTTAGAATGAAATAATATATTTTTGTCCATTGAAACAATCGATCAATACTTATCATGAACTGTATTTTAATTAGAAAATTTAAATTTGTTGCCACGATCGCGACTACCGCAGGCAAATTCAAATTATTCATAGAAGATGGCATGGAGAGTCAATTATCATTTTTATAACAAATTTTATTTACTACAATCATTAAATGAAGCATTGGCAAAGCAATCGGAACAATTGTATGTCGAAGCTTATGGGCACGAGATCGCGGTAAGTCCAAAGAAGAAAATATCTAAACGAGTCTGAAGTAAATGCATAGCACGTTTACATATTCACGTTTCATAAGCACTTTCTCCAAGTTTTCGCCAATATAATGAAATTCACTTAGGCAATGAATGAACGACTACTTCATGAGAGAAGAATTTTAATTATTATTAGATCAAATTTCCATTTCAATATTGTGTGCTTCCTTGGCAAATGTTATGGACTAATATGAGGGTCACTTTCGCGTGACACTAACACACATATTTCTCGGGAATCGACGTTACTTTTTACTTGAGTCTCAGCTGCTTCGCGCGAGTACTCGTCGAGTTTATAAATAAATGCATATACGCGTATTTTTTTAGAAATTTCCAGGACACTAAGGTGAACCTTGGTGTCTTTTTTCCGAGTAACTTAAATTCCGCGCAGTAGATTGTTTCATATATATATATATATATATATATATATATATATACACGTGCGCGCGTGCGCGTGTGTGTGAGAACATTGAGTCGAGGTTGTAATTACTTTATAAATAAAGCAAAACTACGGCTTGTTTAAGGTATTCTCGAGTATTATAAGACAGCCTATTAACGCCTAACCGTGAGAGTAAAGAGAAAGTTACAAAATATTCACAATATTTTTTAATATTTAGATATTTTATGTGCAATAATTTTACTCAATTCTTTTCAATAAACATCAGCCATTTGTTAATACTCAAAATAACGAATAGCCATTAAAGCGAATAAATATTAAATAAAAATTGCAATACAAAAATGCACCTATTGAATCTAAACTTTATCAAATAAAACTATGGAATACACTGGCACAATCCGCTTGAATAATTTACGTAAACATTAATAATCACAATGCTGCTAAGCTATAATATTATATAAATAATCGCATGCTCGATATCATTGTCATTTATCTAGATTTTTTTTATTATTACAAAGTTTTAATGTGTTTGTGTTAATCCATTTTCTTGTATAAAACAATTTAACTTTCAATTCGCATGCAATGAAACTTGTATCGTAAATATAGTTTTGTATGTAGAAAATTAATTGTATGATAAATAGAGACGGTGGTATCGTTGATCTGTTAATACATATTCTAATAATGTGTGCTTTTGCGTGTGTGTACGCGTGTGTGTGTGTGTGTTTTTTTAAACAATATTTTGTAAACGAATAGATTAATTCAAAATGAATATTAAGACAACTATTCGGATTTCTAATTTTGCGCTAATGTTATAAGTACAAATTAATAATAACCACTGTCAAGTGTCAATTATAGATCGAATCTTTCAATTAATAGGAATATTATTAAACAAAGCATATATTTAAGTTCATTGTTCATGACTAAGAACACAATAATTGTAATTATCAAGCTTTCTCCAAGATCAAGGTATTAAAAATAAAGCAGATTAGCTAGGTTAATTAAAAAAAAAAACCTACAGAATGTAGATTCGAACGATATGACGAATAAAGATTCGTAACGTTAATTTATGAAGTTTTTTTTTTTCATATCTATAGAGGGAAAAGTAGACGAGAAGTAAAATGATTAATCACCTCTAACTTATTTATTTAAAATTACCTTAACATGTCCCATATTATGACAACATATTATTGAATATCTTCTGACATCATTGCCCGTTCGTTGGAGCTAATAC